ATCAAACACAGTGTTCCTTGTGGGGTGATTCCTATCAAATTATAATTAGATCAGCACTAGGCTGACAGCTGTGATATTTGTTTGTGAATATTTGTCAGATTCAGGAACTATACTAAGGTTCTCATCTTGAAAATCTGATGATCCTACAGCCTGTTCATTAGATGGCCCTGCAGCCTGTTTGAAATCAGATAGTCCTGCAGCCTCAGCTTGTCATTCTGATGTTTCCATATCATTGATAGTTTCCTTAGATTGGTTGTCAGAGGCTAAGCTTTCATATCCCAAAAATAAACTGGGAGCCCAGTTAGGATTATTAACATCTGATAGATATGCAGGTTTCCCCAGAATTTCCATTATACCTATTATATTTACTACTATTCATTACCTGTTTCAGTGAACTCACCAAGTAGGTAGGAAATGTTTGCTGCAAACTCTCATTATTTCGAGTTTCTGCTCCATCAAACCATTTCTATTTATCCACTTGTCTCTTCTTTTGATAATTCATTGTTCCAATTTATGTCTAAATTTCAAGACACTCAGGATTCGATGTAACTTCATGATATCACGATATTACCGACTCTTACAATTGATTATTCCACAATGAAACATTGTTATAACACAAACACCAAGCAAAACCTATCCAAATAGTGTCCAGAATACACCACAGGAATACACATCAACTATTAAATAATTTTCATAAAGATGATGCAAACCTAATAAAACTAAGTATATAAAGTTCAATTATCAACTAAAGTAGCGAAGAAAGCAGCATTTAACACATTTTAAATTCAATTGAAAATATGGTTAAAAAAGTCACGGAATGACAGCTATTTGTTTGGGTACAGCAACCATCTTGAATCTGATTTTGACAGCATTCCGAAATACCTAATATTTTATAGAAACGAGGAGAAAATCCCAAAAAATTTGGAATAATGAATATACCACCTCCTCGATTAACCTACAGACAGTATTTACCTAATACGCTTGATTGAAATATTTTAACCGAACATGGGTAGACGGTCAATTTCATAGGGGCATACGATCAAAAAATATATAAGGGGGAGTCAGATTAACACCGACAAACTTTGTATTTGAAGAAGATTTTCATGAACTTATTGAATAAATAATATCTTGAGATACAGGGTGTCAAAAGTACGGTAAAAATCATGATTTTCAATTTGTTCTCTTGAAAATGCCTGCAACAAAATTAGCTTTTCTGAATTTTATGATATTTTGAGCATAATTAGTTTCGGGAAACGATTGTAACAGAAATGAATTTCAGGTGGGTGTAACATAAGTACATTGAAATATTCAAGTGGCGTATTCCTGAGACAATTTAAAAAAGAAAACGTCTAGATAAACTTGTATCCGGAAATGTGTCGTTTCGGATATACAGGGTATTTCAATTGAATTTATCAGTTCGCTTTTCGAAAATAACTTCTGCAAATAATGAGTTATTTGCACGAAATTTGGTACCCGAGGGTTTTTCGATGCAATGTTACTTTTGTGGTAACTTATGAAGCGCTAGATTTTACTCCTAGCTCTTGGTCTATAAGGGTATTATGTAACTTTCTTGCACATTTTCCACTATTATACATTACCTGGAGCAATCATTAATTTATTGACATGTTGAGAAAAGTGAATGAAGAGTTCAAATTGGTTTATTTGTCAATTTAAAATGACTGAATTCACTTACAGTTCAGCTTTGATATACCTCGTTATATACCTCAATAGATATTCAGTTTGCAACGACGTATACACATTTTTCTCATAATTAAAGTATCTATGAGTTCAGCAGAATCACAAATGTGTCAGAAAAATTGAAATCGGAATTCACATACAGATTTGTTTGTCCCCCAATCACCTGATAAAACCGACGAGTGCGGTATGTTGTGACGTCAGGCGTAAGATGTCTTGGATTTCCATATCCAGAAACGGTGGTGCATGAACCAGCAAGTACAACATATCAGTGACCAGCGGGATGGACAGGATGAAGGCGATTCACCATAAATCAGGAGCATATCAACTAGATTATTATTCCGATAAATGTGAGGCCGGCCATATTTCAAGACATACACAAATGGAAGTATAATGTTTTCATAAAATGTTAGGTTTAACACGGTTCAACAACGACAATCACTTGAAAATGATTGGTAAATAAATAAATAAATAAATAAATGAAGTTTCATCATCTCATCTCATAACTAAGAAAAACACAGTGAAAGATAAGATATGACTGGAGAATGAAGTAGAAAGTACTTTTTCGACGTGGCGTAATTTTGAATGATTTTTCCAACTCCGATTGCTAGATAATGGATAAGCATGCGCTTGGGAATATCATTGGACCTCGTGTAACTGAAAGGGACATAAAAATCAGGCAAATCTTCATCCAAATATTAGCCAACCCATTTTGTCTCTAAGATTCCAATCTCTGACACATACGCTTCAATGAATGAAATAGTCTTAATTTTATCTGTTTTTCAAAATGTAGGTTAACATTGATTCCTTTTTATGGAAGGAAAAATGAAATTCACAGTTTATATGACATCCTCCTTCCTCTAATGCTCTCATGCATGAGCTTCAATGGTATAATCCAACAATTTTCTGTTGTGTTCAAAATTGAGTAAGGTAAGGTGATTTTAGGAGTCGGATTCTTTTTTTATCATTATCGTTTTGTTTGTTAAGAATTGAACAAAGCTAGTTGAAAAATAGATATGTGAGGTAGGTGGACGTCAATTTAGTGCTAATTGATCAAAATTAATATCAATATCTGTTTTTTAGTTCGGTATTGTGATGCATTCTACACTTGATACAGAATACGTAATGTAAACACAGGAATCTACCACAGCTTTAAAGCAATATACTGTGCTGAAACCTCTCATCACAATAATCGTCCCGTTGTTCCTAAAGTTTATTTAAGATATATATACAAAGTATTTTGTTTCCTTATTTCATTTGCCTACTGTTTACGTTTTCCTCCAGTAATAGCTACTTCATTACTATTTGTGTGCATATAATATCAATCAGTGTAATTTCAGTAGTTTGGGTTATTTGACGTACGCTTGGCAACCTGCAAAGTCGTCCAGTTCCAGTATTGCTGGTTGCATATGCGTAGGTTAGTTCATACATCTATTATTTTCCTACTGAAGACTCTGCAACCAACAACACTTCGGTTTCCATTCGAATCGGTGATCTCTGCCGCGTTTTTTATAGCACCATCTCTGCAAGCTTATCTTTTGAATCTCGTTTTTTGTGGTTCCTTAAAATTTTGGTGGCTATGAAGGATTTCTTTTCTCGCTTGACTATCACAGAAAACAGACAAAGTGTCGCCATTAATGAGCCTTTAATAAATAAAATACAATATTCACATTTATTTGTTAAATAAATGGTTATTGGTGTTTGGTCATTCTTGTAGGTGAGTAATAAGATGTATATATGTAAAATCAAACTATAATTCTGAAAGGAAAATTAATCTGTGAATCATAACTTTACACGTGGGTATGTGAAATGACGAAATAAAAATTCTTGTAGATACTTCACAAACTCCTCAAAAATTAATCCAGCAGCTATCCCCGACCCAGTTTCTCTGCAATACTGGTAATAAAAAATCTTATACAAATTTTCCAGGGTTAGTTCGACAAATAATTTACCTTTCCCCCCAGGATGAAATCACTTCAAATCATAAGTAATCATTCAAACCTCACACTATACCTCCCTGCCCTTGACCATGACGAGTCGACGGCGGTCGGTGACCTCTATACAGAACTTAATCGTCGCGCCTAACCAGTGTTTCTCAAAAGTTGGCCAAACTATTTTTCTTTGCAAATATCATAGTGGAAGGAGAAGATGGTGTACCTACGCGCATATTATGTGACGTCATCTGGGATACCAATATCAGCTGATAGTCACAGACAGATACCGTTGCCATGGGCGTGCGCAATGAATTCAATCATGTTCATTGAAATTTCTATAAGTTTCTCGATCTGTTTAGAAATAATTCAATTTATATAAACAGGTACCTATTCCTTCATTCATTGATTCTGGAAATTGTGATCTTAATGTAATTCGCAATCGCAAATCATTGTCAATCCCATCTGAATGATCCACCACTGTGTCGATTCTGACAGATTAAAATTCAGCAGTTAACGACGTTGACGTTGCTTCTGCTCCGACATCGACAACAGGAATATCAATTTTTGCCGTTTTGTTATTCAAATCTTCGCTGCAATTTATATTTTGTGAGAGATTGAGAGTTTTGAATTCATTTTCAATTATCTCTGACTTGATATTCGGTAGATGTATCTTGTTTCAAATATTTGTGATTTTTTGAAAGTGTGTAATTCAAGAACCGTACTTTCGCACTTGTTTGGGAACATTTTGCATGGAAATGTTTTGAAGAAATACGGACAGTAATATGAATGTGATGATAATATGATAGGTGAATACTTTGGAATGAGGATATAATATAAGGAATAAAAGGTAGGTACTATAATTTGAGTTTATATTCTGTCAGCAGCAAGCTCCCATCGTTTCATTAGGTCTCCATTCTTGGAAAAGCAGAGAAATTCAATATCTGTGCCTTTTGTATGTTAGTTGGAATTTCCATAACCAGAAACGAAACAAGTAGGCATTTCAAAATTATTTCATTCAATTTTAGCACTTATATAATATCTTCGAGTTCGAGACATCAATCACGAAAACAAATAATAACAATGACAGTTATATCCCAGCTGACGTCATGCGCAGAACAAGACGAGTTTGAGCTTTCTGTTGAGCACACCATCGTCTCCTTACACTGTGGCAAAAATGTATCCTTTCATTTTGTTTCTTCGTCTTCTATCACCCATTTCAAGGGTCGCTCCAATTTTAGAAACACCCTGTTTAGGTATGTTCTCAGGAAAAAAGATACGAGGACGTCATTATTCCATTATTCCAGTTTCCAAGTAATAAACTGCTATGGCAAGCCATGCAGAATAACTAGTTATCTCATCACTTGTACTTACCCTGGAGGCATATAAGGAGGTGCTCCTCCAGGAGGAGGAAATCTGTAATTCGGTGGTGGTCCCTGCGTTGTCGGATAGTTCATAGGAGGAGGTTGGCCTGGAGGATACGAACCAGGAATAGGCTGAAAAATAATTAAAGGTGAGTTAATGATTCAAATATCGATATTTTCAATAAAAGATTATCTAAAATTGAAGTTATTGGAAGGTTATCACTTTTTTTATCGCTTGAAGCGCACGAGCGGAAATCCCTATGATGTTCGAAGAACATCGTGCATATCTAGGAAGGATAGGGAGAGGAGGTAGTTATTATTGGAAATCTGCAATCTAGAATAATCCGAGTGTAGTGGCAATTCTAGATTATCTCATCTGTTAAAATTGTTTTATCTTTTGAACTACACACACGTTACACTCACTGACAAAATAATCGATCAACTCAAAATATTGATGAATTCACCTAAATAACTGTTTGAGTTAAGCACAAAATTAATTGAATATTTCGGAAACTTATGAAAATAAGCGTATCCAGAACATACCGATTGTTACAGGAAACGCGAGGAAACGTGAAGATAAAAAGTGAAATAATTCCAGGTAAATTATGTCCAGGATGTGATCTATTTTTGTAAAATATGTTTAATACTGATTTCTGTGAGTTTTTTGGATTTTATCTCCTCGTCTCCATAAATTAAAATATAAATAATATCATTTCAATATACAATTTAAATTAACATTAAAATTAACGCTCCACCAAAAAATATCCAAAAATATTAGATACATTTTCGTCCAAACTACTTGTCCGAATTGGACGGATTTAGCATTGAATGACAGGTTACCTTCTTCTTCTTTTTGAAGAATACCGAGTGGAGCAATTATAGCTTGTTTTTTTTATGAAATTTGTGATACCCTGTGGAGTATAACAGTTACGTTATCAAGTTGAAATTAAATGTACATTTCAGCCTTATCTTTTTGCAACATTCTTTTTTTGGATTCTCTCCATTATCTCTCCTATTTTTCCAGAAAAACAATTTTTCAGCATATCATGATTTTATTGAATTCAATCAACAATACAAGCACGAAAGTAGCAGGCTATGGTTGGAAAGGCATTTCTTTGACTGGTCGCATAAAACTTGTGATCATAAATGGAAGCCTAACATCTGAAAGGTACATAATGGTGATTTCAAAACCACATATACAGTCAGGATTTTTGTTGATGCACGATAATGCTAGGCCTTACGTCGCCCGAGTTGTGAGAAATTATCTAGAGGAATCTCTGGGACATTCTTGGGTCAAGATAACAAGACGAATGTAACTTGAAAACGCACGACAGGGACTGATGATTGAAAATTTGGGAAGACCCACATCAACATGAAATTAGGTCTCCTATTTTGGGTATAGGCCGTCTTTGCAAATGATTTATTCGTGCCCGCGGCGGAAATACTCGCCCCTGACCCTTTTGTTTAACTTCCGATGTCCCGTTTTGTTTCGTTTTTTCGTTGTTAATGTATGTGTGTGTGTGGGCAGTCCGGGACCTGACGCACTTAGGCCTCCCTTTCGGGCTCATTGTTCACCCACATTCCTGGGATAGCAAGTCATCCATGGAAAAGGCCGATATCGCGAGCAAAAGAAACCAACTTCCTAGGCCAAATCATTTCAACATCTTCTGGGTCCAGGATACTGCCCCCAAAATGGATATCCCTTGCTGCCAGACTGCCAGGCATTCAGTGAGGATGTGAGTAGAAGTCTCTTCATCCTCTAAGCACCATCTGCATTCAGGATCCTCCACAATCTCGATCGTGCTGAGATTGTTCAAGTGGCAGTGCCCTGTCAGAAGGTCCACCACCAATTTCAACTCCTTCCTGTTCAAAGCCAAGAGGGCATTGGTCTGTCTTCGTGACGGGTTTCCAATATAGAGTTTGGACTGGCCCATTCCAGGAGCCTCTCTCCAGCTGTCCTGAAACCTTTCCGTCAGGTTTTTCTTGATACTGAAGTTGCTCCAGGATCGAGTGACCCCGAGGACTGGCTCTGGGCCAATCACTGAACCCTTCGCCCCCTTTCTGGCCTTCATTGTTCAATTGGATATTAACTTTCCATAAAATCATTTTACGCTATAAAATGGTGTTTCTCGAGTGATAGGAAAGGTGATGGAAAGAATAAATGTT